TACCTAGAGCAATCTACACATTCAATGCAATCCCCATCAAAATACCATCCACTTTTTTCAAAGCAATGGAGCAAATAATCCTAAAATTTGTATGGAACCAGAAAAGACCCCGAATAGCCAGAAGAATGTTGAAAAAGAAAAGCAAAGCTGGTGGCATCACAATTCTGGACTTCCAGCTCTATTACAAAGCTGTCATCATCAAGACAGCATCGTACTGGCACAAAAACAGACACATAGATCAATGGAACAGAATAGAGAGCCCAGAAATGGACCCTCAACTCTATGGTCAACTAATCTTTGACAAAGCAGGAAAGAATGTCCAATGGAAAAAAGACAGTGTCTTCAACAAATGGTGTTAGGAAAATTGGACAGCCACATGCAGAAGAATGAAACCGGACCATTTCCTTATACCACACACAAAAATAGACTCAAAATGGTTGAAAGACCTCAATGTGAGACAGGAGTCCATCAAAATCCTAAAGGAGAACACTGGCAGTAACTTCTTCGACATGAGCTGCAGCAACTTCTTCCTAGAAACATTGCCAAAGGCAGGAGAAGCAAGGGCAAAAATGAACTATTGGGACTTCATCAGGATAAAAAGCTTTTGCACAGCAAAAGAAACAGTCAACAAAACCAAAAGACAACCAACAGAATGGGAGAAGATATTTGCAAATGACAGATCAGATAAAGGGCTAGTATCCAAAATCTATAAATAACTTATGAAACTCAACATCCAAAGAACAAATGATCCAATCAAGAAATGGGCAGACGATGTGAACAGACATTTTTCCAAAGAAGACATCCAAATGGCCAACAGACACATGAAAAAGTGCTCAATATCGCTCGGCATCAGGGAAATCCAAATCAAAACCTCAATGAGATACCACCTCAAACCAGTCAGAATGGCTAAAATTAACAATTCAGGAAACGACAGATGTTGGCGGGGATGCGGAGAAAGGGGAACACTCCTACACTGTTGATAGGAATGCAAGCTGGTGCAGCCACTCTGGAAAACAGTCTGGAGGTTCCTCAAACAGTTGAAAATAGAGCTACCATACAGCAATTGCACTACTGGGTATTTACCCCAATGGTACAAATGTAGGGATCTGAAGGGGTACGTGCACCCCGATGTTTATAGCAGCATGTCCACAATAGCCAAACTGTGGAAAGAGCCAAGATGTCCATCGACAGATGAATGGATAAAGAAGATGTGGTATATATATACAATGTAATATTATGCAACCATCAAAAGGAATGAGATCTTGCCATTTGCAATGACGTGGATGGACCTGGAGGGTATTATGCTGAGTGAAATAAGTCAATCAGAGAAAGACATGTATCAGATGACCTCACCAATATGAGGATTTCTTAATCTCAGCAAACAAATAGGGTTGCTAGAGTGGGGGTGGGTGGGAAGGATGGGGTGGCTGGGTGATAGACATTGGGGAGGGTATGTGCTATGGTGAGCGCTGTGAATTGTGCAAGACTGTTGAATCACAGATCTATACCTCCGAAACAAATAATGCAATATATGTTAGGAAAAAAAAATAGAAGAAGATAGTAGGAGGGGAAGAATGAAGGGGGGGAAATCGGAGGGGGAGACAAATCAGGAGAGATGATGGCCTCTGAAAAACGAACTGAGGGTTGTACTGGGGAAGGGGGTGGGAAGATGGGTTGGCCTGTTTTGAGTATTAAAGAGGGCACGCTCTGCATGTAGCACTGGGTGTTATGCACAAACAATGAATCATGGAACACTACATCAAAAACTAATGATGTAATGTATGGTGATTAACATAACAATAAAAAAATTTTTTAAAAGATAAAAAGGTTTTGCAGAGCAAAGGAAACAGTCAACAAAACTAAGAGACAACTGACAGGCACCTTATGTTCATTTATTAATTCTAATTGGTTTGTAATTTCCAGAATTTTCTATGTACAGAGCCATATCATCTACAAACAAGGACATCATTCATTCTTCATTTCCAATCTTTCTACTCTTTTTTTCTTACCTTATTTTCCTGGCTAGGATCATCCATACAGTGTTGAAAAGGAATACATTGTGAAATGAATATGTTCCTGATCTTAGGAAGAAACATTCACAATTTCATCATTAACTAGAATGTTTGCTATATGTTTTCTTGTTTCAAATTTCCTTTATCACATTACAGTAACTCTTTTATCACTAGTTAAGTGGGAATTTTTATAGTGAAAGGATATTTTTTCTTCATCTATAAAAATGATCACATAATTTTTCTCATTTTCTATTAATATGGTGAATTACATTATATTGGCTTTTTAATTTTAAACCGACCTTTCATTTCTAGATCACTCTCCCCCTCCATGGCTATTTATTTATCTTCTACAATGTTAACTAGATTTAGTTGGAAATGTTTTGTTTAAAATTCCTGCATCTTTAATCAGAAATTAATCTGTTAATTTTCCTTTCCAGTATTGCCTTTGCCAAGTTTTGGTATTAAAGTTAGACTAGATATACTAAGCTAATGAGTCATTGAACATTATATCAAAAACTAATGATTACCATACCTTGGCTAATTGAATTTAAATTAAAAAAATAAATAAAGGGGCGCCTGGGTGGCTCAGTCAGTTAAGCGACTGCCTTCGGCTCAGGTCATGATCCTGGAGTCCCGGGATCGAGTCCCACATCGGGCTCGCTGCTCGGCAGGGAGTCTGCTTCTCCCTCTGACCCTCCTCCCTCTCATGCTCTCTGTCTCTCATTCTCTCTGTCTCAAATAAATAAATAATAAAATCTTAAAAAAATAATAAAAATATAAATAAATAAATAAATAAATAAATAAAGTTAGACTAGCCACATAGAAAAACTTAGGAAATGCTTCTTCTTTTTATATTTTCCAGATGAGTATGTGTAAGATAGGTATTACTTCTTTTTTTAAATATTTGGAAGATGTAATGGTTTGAATTATTTTCCCAACTCTTCACTCTTTTCCTGGTATATGATTATTCATCCATAGTTTTTGCCATGTGGCTTTTTAATATCTCCTATTAGAATGGGTGGAGTACATTACACACATCCACTCACTGATGTTGAGTTTGGTACTGTGACTTGTTTTCTCAATGCAATATAAGATGATGTGATTAAGCAAGTGCTGGCTCAGTTCATCTTGGCTCTTTTGTTCCTGATGAATGCCATGGAAAATAATATGCCCAAGTATTAACTTTGTGAGAAAGTTTCAAATGACAGTTTCCAGATCTTTAATGGAAGACTTATCCATATTTTCAATTTTCCTCTATTCTATTTTGGGAAAGATGGAAAGATGTGTTTTTGGACGAATGCATATATTTCACCTAAAAATTTAAATTTATTGATTTTAAGTTATCACCAGTATTCTCTTTTCTTCTAATGTCCAAAAGATTAAAAAATATGTAATTTAATTACCTGATATTGGTATATTATAACCTTAGTCTTTTTATTTTGGACTACTGGATAATTTTTTTTTCTATTCCCATCTGCTTCAACAGATAATGTTTACAAACACTTGTCTTAATGAAAGATGTTAGGTGAAGGACACATTATACACATTCCAATGAGTTAAGCATAGAGATATTCTCATATCTTTCTAAACCTATTTACATACACTTATGTCTTAATGAAAAAAGATGTTACTTGAAAGGTTTATACACAGTGTAGTTTTAGTTAATTATATGCATTAATCTTTTCAAGAATCAGCATCTCTCTTTGCTCATTTTTTGTTATTTTTCTGTTTGTTTTCCTTTTCATTTATTTCTGCTCATTCCTTAATTATTTCTTCCCATCCACTGTCTTCAAGTGCAATTATTTCTTCTTTTTCTATCTTTTTTGATAGAGATTATAATGGGAAAAACCCATTTGATTGTTCTCTATCCTGTAATATGCATTTCATTGTGATTAAAGGGATTGAAGTATAGTCTTGCCTTGAGAGTAACATTATGACTAAATTTTGTAGAACCTAAACAGTCTGCCATGACAATAGGATTAAGAAGGTGATTGTCCATATTTAATAGTGCTTCTTTTATTTTTTAAAATTTTTTATTTAAATTCAATTTAGTTAACATATAGTGTATTATTAGTTTCAGAGGTAGAATTTAGTGATTCATTAGTTGCATATAACACCCAGTGTTCATTCTATCAAGTGCCCTCCTTAATGCCCATCATCCAATTACTCCATCCCATACCCACCTCTCCTCCATTAATCCCTACTTTTTTCCCTATAGTTAAGAGTCTCTTATGGTTTGTCTCCCTCTCTGTTTTTATCTTATTTTATTTATAGTGCTTCTCTTAAAATTAGGAATGTCCTCAGTTCAGACATTTGTTTCAACATTTGTTACATGAATATCATAGCATGCAACTTTGTACTGCAAGGATGAAGACATAACTTGAAAAATAACCTGGGATGCTATATAAAATATTATCTCCTTTTATATTCTATCCATCATGTGGTAAGGGAAATTTTTATATACTGATAATAAAGGGGGAATACATAATTTTATAAAATGTTATGATTACTCCATAGTCTGATCTCTAAATTTACTTTCCCAAATGAGTTAAGACAGTAAAATGAGTGAGCTTTATCTTACTAATTTTTTTTCTTAGATAATATTATAACTATAAGCATAAGTGATATCCCTTATAATATCAGTCCTCTTTGTATTTGGCAGTAAAATGTCATTAAGATATAAATCCTCCTTACCAATGCTCAAAACAAAAATTCCACAAAGTATGTGATTATTGATGCTTGTGTGTGTACACAAAAATCACTCCTTTAGTGTAGGTTGGGGAGGAGAGGTTGAGATATCATGAAAACAAGTTTTATTGTTTATAACACTAAATAACAGTGAAAACCATAAAGCATATTACGAACAAATGTTTTGGTTTCAAATCAAGAATTTTGTAGTGCTCCTAAACAATGATCAAAACATGCAATGCACCAAAAAAAAAAAAAAATTACAATGCACAATGGCTAATCACATTGTTCTAGACTCACCTTACACTGGGGGATAACTTGCTGTTACTGCTGCTTTCTTCTGACACAGATCTGTTAAAATGACAAAAAAAATTTTTTAAGTGGAGAAATTTAAAAATTTTGAACAACTAAGTGGCTATGTGAATGAAGAATATTTTTCAAAGAAACAGTGATTCATTAAATAAAATGTCTCCCTCCAACAAAATAAAACAGATACTGTTCTTTTTTTTTCTTTTCTTTAAGTAGATTAACATACAGTGAATGTTATATTAGTTTTGGGTGTACAATATAATGGTTCAACAATTCTATACATTACTCAGTGCTCATCAAGGCAAGTGTACTCTTAATCCCCTTCATCTCTTTCACTTATCCACCTCACCCACCTCCCCTCTGGCAACCAGTTTGTTTTCTGTATTTAAGAGTCTGTGATTTTGTCTTTTTTTTAATTTTGTTTGTTCCTTTGTTTTATTTCTTAAATTCCTCATATGAGTGAAATCATATGGTATTTGTCTTTCTCTGATTTATTTCACTTAGTATTATATCTTCTAGGTTCATTCATGTTGTTGCAAATGGTAAGATAGCATTCTTTTTATGGTTGAGTAATATTCCATTGTGTATATATACCACATCTTCTTTATCCATTCATCTAAAGATGGATGCTAAATATTAGAAGAAATGCCATCATCCATCTTGCTTTGTTGATTAACTCCTCTCATCTTCATTTTACATTTATTCAATTATTTATAGGATCACATTTGTATAGACATGCCCTCTGATTCTATGACACCCATAACTCCTCAGGTCAAATTAAGCCAAAACCTTAAAGTGGCAGTCAAAATTTAAGTTAATTTTTCTATAAATTTCTATTTTTTTCTTTCTTTCATAACACATATTTGTGTTTTCTCTTCCTGTCATTTCCTGAAAGTTAAACTAGATGTAAATACTTCTATGGGAGAATACAGTAAATTATGAATAAGAAGCCTAATAGCTATATCTAAATATTTATGTAACTGATTACAGATAATGTGGTGATTTCACTTACTGATTTGGTATATCCAAAAATTTATGATACACTGGAAAGCTATTATTATCTCCCATTTTATAGAGTTATAGAGAATAATTTTAAGAACATAGAGATTAAATCACTTGCTCAAGGTATTATAGTTTCTGCATGCAAGATTTAGGATTTAAAACTAAGTTTTCTGAGGCTAAATGTAATTTCTTTCCCATTTCATGATGCTGCCTCCTGTTTCATCACCTGTGTTTTGAACTACACATGTAATTTCTGGTTAAGAAATGACTTTACAAATAGCAGCATCAATACTTAGGAAAATAAATATTTTGGAAGCAGTTTCATAAATACCATTTTCAGTTGAGAGAGCTATTCTAATAGAGTTGTCTGAGATTTTGCATCTAAAAAATTTATCTTTTGAAAGTTCCCTTTAAATGCAGCGTTATATATTCTCAGAAGCCTTTGGACAGTAGACTATTAATAAGACTATTTAGACAGTGTTGGCTGACTAAGAGGCTGAATAAATCCCCACTATATTCTTGGCAGTCATATCTCCTCTTCAAGTGATACTAATGGTAAAATGAATGGTTTTAGTAATGAGTAAAACTGAAAAAATGGAGGACATCACACTGGTTTGAAATGTATCCCTGGACCTCTCCTCATATTGTTCTACCTACAACCTTAGATTATTCCTGACGAAACATGAGTACTTTTTTCTTGACTCATTGAATTTAGTAAGAATAAACATATATACCTCTCACTTTCAGTTTCATCTCTGTAGCACAGCTCTCTTATTTTATTCTGCTTTATTAAAACAATGGCAGTGATGATGAGCACAGGTAGAGAAATGTAGAAAATGAGTAGAAACCGGTGTTTTGAAGGAGTGGTATTTTGTTCCCTCAAGTAGCTTTTACCTATAATGGAAAATAACCATCTCATATTATGTTAGAGATTGTACTAACCAAACAAAAATGTGGAGAGGATATCATTACCAACATTATTCCCAACACTAAACATTTCACTCACATATATTATAAATATAATAAATATTAATTATTAAATTAACATATAAAATGGACTGTTACTAGTGCTTTACTGATGTCTATGAGTTTTCAACATTACATCATATAGTGATTTATTTGACTGAAGATAATCTTTCATAAGCACGTTTAATACCTACAGACATTTCCTCAATTTCTTTCTGATATAAGTTATCCAAAATTTAAACATGTATATCACAGAGAGTATTGGGATTCTACCTAAATATGAGAATTAAATCTGGGAAGTGTGGCATTTAATTTCTCTTACATTACTAAAATATTTTTCTAAAAATTAAAAATTAGTAGTCACTAAATAACAATTATTTAACTAAGTCCTTTAGTCAAATATATAGCAATAGGAAATTGTTAAAATGGCTCTATAATTATTTTGTAGGATGCATGGCTAAGTCTGGCTTTGACCCACATTTCTTTCCAACTAATGTTAATGTCACATTTTTCTCATCAGTTTTTTTTTAAGGTTTATTTATTTATTTGAGAGAGAGAGAGCACATGTGTGCGCCTGCAAGTGGTTGTGGGGGAGGGGCAGAGAGAGAGAGAGAGAATCTCCAACAGACTCCCCACTGAGTGCAGAGCTGATGCAGGGCTTGATCTCAAGACCCTGAGATCACAACCTGAGCTGAAATCAAGAGTCTGATGGTTAACTGGCTGAGCCACCCAGGTCCTCCTCCTCATCAGTTATTATTCATTCTCAGCTGACATCTGTTTTCATTCCTGAGCGTCTGATCTATGTGGCTCCTCAACTTCCACCTCTTTGTACATATCAGCCACCTATCTGGGTTTATAATGTATCAAACTCTGCTTTCTCCACAATTTATTAGCATGTTCTTGTTGTTGTTGTTTTAATTTGGTATAGAATACTGTTCTATCACTTCTCTGCCAGTTGAAACAATGAGGAAGCTGACAGGTAGAGGAGCCACCCCCCAGCTACAGTCATGCATGATCATGGTTCAATGTGCTCCTCTTAAACTGCCCCAGTGCTTCACAAGATAAAACTTGTGAGCAATGAAACTGGATAATTAGCTGAGGAGATTTCGAAGCAAAATGTTGAAGGTACAGCTCAGGTCCTCCCAACTGCTTACAGCAAATGTGAGAGTGGATTGATGAGTTGAGGAAGTGTTAATCAGAACTTAGAGACCTGGAGAATTCTCAGCCTAACCATTGCAAAAAAATGAGGAAACATGTTTTAGAGAGAATGCCCAATGTGTGGCTGGCAAGTCATTTGATATTGAGATTATTGCATCTTAGCAGCCATCTCAGCAGAAGCAAGGAATAGGGATGAGATCCATGAAGGCAGAAACATTGCCAAGTTGGACCAAAGGGAATAGGATGGGACAATACAGCTATTTGGCTGCCGATATACTTCATTCTTCAAGAAAAGAGAAGAACCCTCCAAAGATGATTAAGAAATCATCAGGGTTTTCTCTCCCATCACAGGCCCAGGAGCTTCCCTTCTTGATTTCAGCTAGGCTGCCCCAGCCCGGTGCCTGGGAGACAGGGAGGCTGCAAAGTGTTGTGTGGGCAGGGCCAAAGGGGTGGGATAGATGTCACTGAGGACTATGGGATGATGCTGCCACTACAGTGGGCTTGGAGGACAGAATATCAAGCCAAAAAGGATATTCTTGAAACAAAAATCTAATGGTCTCCCCTGTACATCTGAAACAAATAATACAATATATGTTTAAAAAAAAAAAAGGAGGAGAAGAAGAAGGTAGCAGGAAGGGAAAAATGAAGGGGGGAAAATCAGAGGGGGAGACAAACCATGAGAGACTCTGAGAAACAAACTGAGGGTTCGAGGGGTGGGATGGGTTAGCCTGGTGATGGGTATTAAAGGGCACATACTGAATGGAGCACTGGGTGTTGTATGCAAACAATGAATCATGGAACACTACATCAAAAACTAATGATGTAATGTATGGTGATTAACATAACATAATAAAATTTTTTTAAAAATCTAATGGAAGTTAGCTTGCTAAATTTTGTATTTACTGGGATCTGTCATCCTGTCCTTCTTTCCAATTTCTTTCTTTCAGAATGAGAATGTCTATCCTATGACTGTTTTTTGGAGGCACATAACTGGTCCGGTTTTATGGGCTCACAATAGGAAGGAATTTTGCCTCAGAATAAATCATATGTGAGTCTCATGTATACCTGATTTACATGATTCTTAGATGAAGCTTTGTATTTGGAATCAGTGCCAGAATGGGTTAAGACTTTTGGAGCTGCTGAAATGGGGGTACCTGTATTTTGCCATACAAGGAGGACATGAATTTGAGAGGACTATGGGATGGAATTTTATGGACTGAATTGTTCCCCAAAATTCATATGATGAATTGAAGCCCTAATACTCAGTGTGATGGTACTTGGAGAGAAGACCTTTGGGAGGTATTTAGGGTTAAGTGAGGTCATAAGGGTGAGGTCCTAATCTGATGGAATTAGTTAGACCAGAGAGTACTCTCTCTCCACATACACCGAGAAAAGGCCATGCAAGGACTCAGCAAGAAGGCGATCATGTGCAAGCCAGGAAGAGAGTTAGAAAAAAAATTTGCCAGCACCCTGATCATAGATTTCTAGCCTCCACAACTGTGAGAAAATTAATTTCTATTGTTTAAGACACCCAGTCTGTGGTATTTTGTTATGATAGCTCAAGCAGATGAATACAGTGTGTATTCATGAAAATATAGATGAGGTTGTTTAGTCCCCAGAGCATTCCTTAAAGGGAGAAAGAAATAGCTGTGGAACTCCTATTAAAACTTTCCTTCCCAGAAACATTCACTACCTAATAGTCTAGAGAATTTCAGGCTAAAAGACAAGATGGTTTACTACTAGAAAATCTTCAAAGGCAATACAAAAATATGATCAGTTAATAGATGTCATATACATATTTAATATAACCCAAAAAACATTCCTGATTTTAAATACAATTGGAAGAGATAAATATTTTCTCAGTAAGATAAACATATTGAATCAAAAGCAGCATCCTTTTCATGATAAAATATTAGAAGTTTTCCTAGGAGTAAAATAATGATCATCTCTTTTGTGATTATTTCCTTTTATTCTCAATGGATTACCCAGGGCAATTATGAGATGGGGGTAGAGATTAACTAAAGAAGAGGAAATAAAGAAATTATTATTATTAAAAAGATGCGGAAAAATTATTAATTGCAGTTACATCAGTTAGCTGCCTTAAAATCTAAAAGACTTTTGAAAATAGTGATAACCCATTGATAAAATGCATGCACAAAAATCTGCAGGCTTCCCATATGTAAAAAGTAACAAATTAAAAATACAATGACAGAAAGACCTTCTAATAACAATTTTCTTTTTTTTTTAAGATTTTATTTATTTATTTGGCAGAAAGAGAGCACAAGTAGGCAGAGAGGCAGGGAGAGGGAGAGGGGGGAAGCAGGCTCCCCGCTGAGCAGGGAGCCTGACATGGGGCTCGATCCCAGGACCTTGGGATCATGACCTGAGCCAAAGGCAGCCACTTAACCGACTGAGCCACCCAGGTGCCCCTGATAACAATTTTCAACAAAATGATAATATTCTTAAAAATGAAAAAGGTAATTTCTGATCCATAGATCATTCTATACCTATAGAGAGAGCAAAACCACAATGAGTTATCAGCTTATACCCATCAGGATGGCTACTATTTACAAAACAGAAAATAACAAGTTTTGGCAAGGATGTGGAGAAACTGGAATCCTTGTGCACTGTTGGTGGGAATGTAAAATAATGCATCCTCTTTGGAAAACAGTATGGAGATTCTTCAAAAAAATTAAACATAGAATTACCATATTATCTAGCAATTCCACATCTAGGTATATACCCCAAATTATTGAAAGCATGGACTCAAACAGATACTTAAACACCCATGTTCATAGCAGCATTATCCACAATAACTAAAACTTGGAAGTAACCCAATTGTCCATTGACAGTTGAATGGATAAACAAAATGTAGTACATACATGTAATGGAATATTATTAGCCTTAAAAAGAAAGGGAATTATGGTGCCTGGGTGGCTCAGTTGGTTAAGCATCTGCCTTCATCTCGGGTCATGATCTCAGGGTCCTGGGATCAAGCCCCTCATCAGGCTTCCTGCTCAGCAGGTAGTCTGCTTCTACCTCTGCTCCTCGCCCCTGCTTGTGCTCTCTCTCTCAAATAAAATTTTTTGAAAAAAATTTTTAAAAAGAAATTATGACACATGTTCCAACATGAACTTTAAGGACATTGTGCTAAGTAAAATAAGCCAGATACAACATGACAAATACTGTGTGATTCCACTTATATGGGGTCTCAGAAGTAGTGAAATTCATAGACACAGAAAGTAGAATGGTGGTTGCCAGGAGCTAGGGGAGAAGGAATTGGGGAGTTATCATTTAATGAGTATACACTTTCAGTTCTGCAAGATGAAGAGTTCTGGAGATGGATGGTGGTTGCAAAACAATGGACAATGTCACTGAATTATAGACTTAAAAATGATTAAAATGGTAAATTTTAATTTATGTGTATTTTACAAGTAAACATACATATATAAATATGTGTGTATGTTAAAAAGGGTGAAAAAAATCAATAAAATAGATTGTCAAGGGTGATGAAAGAGCAATACACAACAGAATTATAAATTTCCTATAACCATAGATAAATGGGAAGCTTCATGAAATTAAAGAGATGCAAATGGATTTCTTTTTACTACTAGTTTGTCATGGATTTAAAAGATTGATAATAATACTCTGGTTTCTCTTCAGATCGCATAAATCTTTCACCTTTTTAAAAGATTGATAATAACTCCTGAAAATCAGGAATAATGTATAGTATTATTAGTGGTAATTTCTGGAGTTAAGATTACATAAAA